CAAAAACAGGAGGACTCATACTTCCTGATTTTAAAGCTTACTACAAAGTTGAAGTAATCAAAATGATGTAGTACTGACATAAAAATTGGCATACCGACCAATGGAAAAGGAAGGAGAATCCAGAAATAAACGTTTATATATATGATCAAAAGATTTCTGACAGGGGTGCCAACACCATTCAATGGGAAAAAGGCAATCTTTTCAACAAATGGTGCTGCAAAACACAATGTTCACATGCAAAAAACATGATTTTGGACCCTCACTTTTATCACATACAAAAACTAACTTAAAAAGGATTTGAAACTTAAAAGTAAGACTTAAAAACTTTAAAATTCTTAGAAGAAAACATAGGGCAGAACTTTTATGACACTGGACATGACAATGATTTCTTAGAAATGACACCAAAGATACAGGCAACAAAAAAATGGACAAATTGGACTTTGTGAAAAATTTTAAATTGTATGTTTCTGTGATTACACTATCAATAGAGTAAAAAGAGTGACAGAAAATATTTGTAAATCATATATATATTAAGGGACTAATATCCAGGATATATAGAGAGCTCCTAAACCCCAACAATGGAAAAACTACCCAATTCAAAAATTAGCAAAGGAGGTGAACAGACATTTCTCCAAAGAAGAAATACAAATGGCCAACACACACATGGAAAATGATGACGTCATTCATTATTATGAAAATGCAATTCAAAATTACAATGACATAATATCAAATACCCATGAGGAAGGCTACAAAAAACACCCAGAATATTCAATTGTTGATTAAAATGTGTAGACATTGGAACCCTGTGCACAGGTGGTGGGAATGTAAAATAATATATAGCCACTATGAGTAACAGTATAATTGTTTCTTAAAAAGTTTAATATAGAATTACCATATGATCTGCCAATTCCACCTTGTGTATATACTCAAAAGAATTAAAAGCAGAGTCTCAAAAAGACATGTGTATACCTATGTTCTTAGCAGCATTATTCACAATAACCAAAACACAGAAGCAAGAAAAGTGTTCATCAATAGATAAATAGATAAGCAAAATGTGGGTACAATGGAATACTATTCAGCACTAAAAAGGGAAGAAACTTCTGACATATGCTACAATATAGATGAATTTTGAGGACTTATTTCATTTTGCCATATGAAATAAGCTAGTCACAAATATACAAATATTACATTATTCCCCTTACACAGAGTACTTAGAATAGTCAAAATCATAGTAACAGAAAATAGAATGGTAGTTGCCTGGGGCTGGGGAGAGGAAAGAATGGGATTTAGGATATAGAGTTTCACTTGTGTAAGAAGAAAAGAGTCCTGAACATGGATGGTAGTGATGATTGCACAAGAATACAGGTGACTTACAACCACTGAAACTGTACAGTTAAAAAACATTGGAGAATAAATATATATGTATTTTACCACAATAGAAAAAATTGATCACAACAATGAGTGTGTTCAAAATTTTACAGTTTCCAGTGGAATTTAAGAGACATTAGTTTAAAAAAAAGTGGGGAGGGTATCAACAGAATATCATTGTAGGACACATAATATGAGAAAAATCTCCTCTGGGGGCCTCAGCCTCTCCCATTTACTTGTTCATTTCACATGTAAAATAATGGTTATTAACAAGTGTGTTATGTATTCAGTAGAAAAATGCATTTGCCAAAGGAATATTGCTATTGATCACAATGTTGGCATGCTTTATTAAGTGCTTAAAGAGTGGAATTAATGTAGGATTCAGAAATTAGGTTCCTGGAGGGAGCAGTGATAATGGAAACTCTTCACTGTGAAGCAAACAAAAGATAGCAGAACAAGATTTAATTTTTAATTTGCAACCCATCAGATGCAGAAGATGAAATATCTGCCTGTTCAGCCAGCAGAGCAGCATTTCAGACTTCAGTCTCCCTTCTGCTGATCTTACCTGCCTCTGCTTTGTGGATCTCTCTTCTCAACTGGTTCGAGAATATTCAGGGAGATCCAAGGCTATTGAAATCTTCTGCCTTGGCTCTTCAGTTTCAAAAGCCTGCTCTATTTCTGTTATAAAATTTATTTGGTAAGATTCACATTACATGAGGGTCTTCTGATTTCCCACTTGATTACGCAAGGCCTTGTGGGAGGAAGCAATAGTATTTCCTTTTAAGGAGACATTAAAGGCTTAATATTTGTTCCATGTAATTCTTTATCTTATAACTGCTGAATTTCTGCTTCATTTCTAAAACTATGTGACATCTGTTCTTTGGTATACATGAAATCTTCATTTTGGTTTTATATTTGGACACATTTTGTGACTGTCACTTGGGTTTTAATAAAAGCAAATCTGTTCTGAAGGTCAGTTCCAGGGTGTTAGATGCATGCATAAAATCAGGCTTATTACCTTGAAATGCAAATTTTCTATATCTCTACTAATTTCATCCATTATTTTGATTAGTTACCACAAATAGCTATTCTCAATAAAATATTTGATTAAGTCAAATTTTATACAACATGAATCTTGATCTAATAAACATACACCGAAATTTATACCACATGAAAAGCAGTTACAATCTTTTCAAGCATATAAGAATCATTTCCAAAATTTGAGCATGAACTATGCAACAAAGGTAGTCTTAATAATACTGAAGCATAACTAGCTCACAAAATAGGTGAATTGATGTTAATATTATCCATCAGAAATTAACAACAAAAATTGAAAGAGAATAACCTTAACCAAAAACAACCTTAGAAATTAAAAAACAATTTTAAATGTTTAATATGTTAAAGAATAATTCACAATTAAAATAATGTATTTAAAACAAAAATGCTTTGCATCCAGTAATTATCTGAATTTATAGAGAAATTGTTGCCTGACAAACATATACATAATGATTGTCTAATCAATAAATGATACTGTGCTGTAGTCAATTTATATGTTTAAATACAGGTCTCTACCTCACAAGAAAGAAAACAATAAATTCAAGATATACTAATCAGTTAATTTGAAAAAAAGTATGAATTTTAAACTCTCAGAAAACAATACTGTAGAATATCTTTAAGTAATGGGACAGAAATGAATTTCTCAAAGACGACAAAAATAAATTAAAATGTGTATGTATTAGGCTATGCTGTTATCAACTATCCCATGTGTCCATTTTTCAACATCAACAGCAGACTGAGAGATGATACTTGCAATTAATACATTTTTCAAGAATAACTGATTTGTATATATGTTTCAATTACTGAAAATCAAGGAATGTTGGAGAAGAAAATTGCAAAAGTATGGACAAAGAGGTCAAAAAAGAAGCAGGAAAAGTGGCATTATATTTACAAAGATATATTTATCTTTCTAGTAATCTTAGAAATGCAAATTAAAATAAGAATGAGATATCATTGCACATAGCCAAAAATAAATAAATAAACTGTGAAAATACTACCTTCTGTCAAGATTATGGAGATACGCTCATTGTCTTACACAGCAGGAATAAGAATAGATTCTGTAACTGTTATTAAGAACAATTCGGAATATTCAAGTTGAAAATAGTCTCTTTGTGCATGTTTGCACAATGATATCCATTAAAGATTTTTTGTAATATCAAAAAAGTAAAAGAATCTAAGGATTCATCAGGAGAATGGATCATTGTGGAATATTTATACAATGAAATACTTTAGAACAGTTAAAAATGATTGTGTTGTATTAACCTGATTAAATATATGAATATAGAAAACAATGTTGAGTCAAAAAAATACACAGAAACATAGTTGCAACATATCATTTATATAATGTGTAAATATACACAAAACAGAACTCTATATTGTTTGATCTTGGATAGATAAATCAGTGATAAAATTATATGCACAAACCTCAAGGTAGTATCTGTATCTCAGAATGAATGATGTGACCATGTGCAGTGAAGGTTTCAATTATATTAAAAATCATGAAATTATTTTTAAAAAGGATCTGAATCAAATATGGTAAAATGTATACCTTCGGTAAATCAGAGTTGTGAATACTAGTGTTGTGTTGTGCTATTATATATATTTGTTCATTAGAAAGAGTTTACAATTGCCAGGCATGATGGCTCATGCCTGTAATCCCAGCACTTTAGAAGGCAAAGGTGGGTGGATCATCTGAGGTTGGGAGTTTAAGACCAGCCTGACCAACATGAAGAAACACCATCTGTATTAAAAATACAAAATTAGTCAGGTGTGGTAGTGCATGCCTGTAATTCCAGCTACTCGGAAGGCTGAGGCAGGAGAATCGCTTGAACCCAGGAGACGGAGGTTGCAGTGAGCCAAGATGGTGCCATTGCACTCCAGCTGGGCAATAAGAGCAAAACTCCATCTCAAAAAGAAAAAAGAAAGAAAGAAATAGACCACACACATAAACTATTTTAAAAATAAAACAAAAGTTTCATTTGGTAAAAGGAAGTACATCAAAATGGTTTTAGTGCTCATTTTTAGGGAAGTAATCACAGATCTATTTTACACTTCTAGATATAAATTTTTCAAAATTTTCTTGAAAGTTTTACTTGTATTATTAGAACAAAATGCATTTCATTTAAAAAGAAAACATCCCTAGGGCTCTTTTCTGAAGATTTCTTCTGAAACTAAGCCGCCATCACATTGAAGGTGATGCAGCTTGAGAGGGTATCATTTCTTTGAAAAGTTAACTGAAGTATTTTTTGGATTTCTTTCAATCCCATTGTGAGAGCTGCCTCCACTGTGCTAAATGCTGACATGGATGCTAAGGCTGATTATCATCAGAATCACTGGGGCAGAATTAGTGCTTCACACTGAAATTTAGGTCCCTGAAGAGTAAAACTACTCCAAAAAATATAAATTTAAATTCAGTGTGCATTTTTCTCTTTTCATTTCTAAAGACTAGTAGGAATATATAATTTCAGCAGTTTGGTTTGCTAAAATCAGATCAATGTCACCTGCCTGGTTTTGACTGATACTCGTTTGCCTGGAGTTATAGGGAGGACTTTTATTTTTTATTTATTTATTTTTGACCCAAAAACCTGTATTTTATTGACACTTTTTCCCACAGAGACTCTTAGAAAGATGCCACATTTTCTGTTAATGAATGAGAGGAGTCCACTCGTATCCTGAATCACTGTTTGCGAATAGCAACAGATACAATTGTCACACTTTTTAAAATAACAGCCACTCCCTTCAGCCCACACCTCCACACCCTCATCTGCCTCCCCAAGGCTGTCAGTTCCGTCAAGTCACCCTTCCTACTCTGGTATTACCTTGAGAATTGAAATTTTCAAGCAGAAAAAAAAAAGTTACAAATAAGTGAGTGGGGAACCAAGGGAAGCCCTTTGACTATGATTTCCATTTTCTGTTCAATCCACACTGCAGAGATACAAGGATAAACCACCATTTTGGTTCCCAAGTTTTATTCAAGAACACATACAAAATATTCCAGATAAGTGAAATTTAATCTTCGTCTTCCTCCTCTTCTTCATCCTGGTTAATCTGGAAGTAACGTAATTCGTAACTCTCTTTGCTGTTAGCAACTACGCGCAACCAATCACGTAGATTATTCTTCTTCAAATATTTTTTGGTGAGATATTTCAAATACCTTTTGGAGAAGGGCACCTCAGACGTCACGGTGATCTTGCTCTTGCTCCTTTCGATGGTCACCACCCCTCCACCAAGGTTCCCGGCTTTTCCGTTCACTTTGATCCTTTCTTGCAAAAACTGCTCAAAATTGGCAGCATCCATGATTTCATCTTCTACAGGTGGGTGCAATCAAGAGTGAACTTCAGAACCTGCTTCTTTTTTTTTTGCCCCCCTTCACCACAAGCTTTTTCACAGGAGCCATGGCGGCAGCGGAAGCAGAAAGGGAGATGAGCGAACTACCAGGGAGGACTTTTATAAGTATCCTTCATGAGATTAAGTTCACGATAACATAAAAAACAAAAAAAAAAAAATTCTGATTTTTTTTAATGTTAAAACTGTCATACTAAATAAAATATCAAACTCAACCTGTCAAAGAGGAGTCAACTTTTGACCAGCAGAAAGCATAGCAGTGCATCCATATCTTCTTTAGCACCCAGCCATGTTTATTTGACGCAATTTACACCTAAATTAGTTATACTTTTAGGCATTGTTTGTAAAAGTCATATCAAAAAATAATATTTGCTCCATAGACGCTGAATATAACACTGGACGGTTATTGATTTTTTTCAAGGTCTTTTTTGACGCTTTTAAGAACTGTCACCCTCAGCATCTCATCTCCAAGACTGAGAAAATGCAATTTTATCATGTACAATGGGCTTAGGCAGCAAGCAAGCCTTTATACTGATTGCGTATTTTCAAGATTCCTGGGGTTAATTAAAAATGGTGAGTGTAACATTATGCAAAGAATTCTAAGCTTGCTTTCCTGGAATGAAGGAGAGATAAACAATGAATTTCCCCAGTTTTATTAAATACTTTACACAAATCTTAGAATGAATACTGTGAGACCAACTGTTTCTATAAGAATATAGTGTTATGAAACATTTACTTTTCTGAAAATCTTTGGATTTTGTTGCTTCCTTCATAAAGCGCATACACAAACACACACACAGAGAGTCTGAATTAGATATTCTATTGACATGTTTTAGAAGGAAGGAAGATTAAGCTAAGTGTTTGAGATTCAAACCGACTGATCCATGGTTTCTAATCATTGCAAATCTGATGTTTTAAATCATTAAACCATTCCTTCTAGCTTACCATGGGAATATATTTCCATATAGTTTGCTGTGATATATTGAGACACATAAGAATTAGAATTTATTTGCCATTTAATTTTTTTTACCAAAGTGACTTTAAAAGGTCATCTAATGCCCACATTTCTATTTCTAGAATATTTTCACTTCATCTATCAGAAATCTTTGTGTCAAGGTAATTTATTTCACTAGACTCTTATGATTTTAGCATCGCAGTTGTATTTACTGGAATAAATCCAGAGTTTCATCTGATTCTAACCAACAAAGTAAGAGAAACAGAAATGGTAATGTTGAACAACTCTAATTCATCATAAAGTAAGTTGTGGTATTTTTTCTTACACTGAACAGACCAAGAAGATTAATTCATTTTTAATTTTCATTCTAACCTACTCTTAAACTTCAAGTTATTGAGAAATTCTGATCTAAAATGAATTTTCTTACATGAAAATTTGTTTTACATTGGATTTCTGATTTAAATAAAAGAATTTCTGATCTAAAATTTTTCTACATGAAGCTTTAGTTTCATTTATTGAATTTTCTGATAACATAATTTCCTCTCTGCCTCCCTGTCAAGTCTGTACTCCTCAACCTCTGAGGCTTTCGGTTAGAAAAGTATTTTTTAAAAATAGAAGGAACCAAAATAAAAGTAAAATTCTGCAAAAAATCTGAGGTTCAAAAACTCCAGGAGAGTCTGGAAAAATTTCTAAAACAAGATAAGAAACAGGAGTTCTGAAATAGAATCTGGTCAGATTTGAGAGCCAAGTCTGCTTTCTGAGCCTTATAGGACTTATAACTAAATGGATTTCAGAGCAAAGGGTAGAAGGAACACAATGCTGTATTTCCTTCATATCCCTAGAACTTCACGTGTACCTGACATGGGAAAATTTCTCAATAAATATTTGTTAAAACAGAAAAGAATGAGTAAATGAACAAATGAAAACTAAAGAAGCAAACTATAAGTAATTTAAAAGATCCCTCTAAATCCTAAAACCATCTCACAATACTCCTCCTTTCCTTTTATTCCAGATTTCCTCACTCAGGGTCTAATGCAGTGGCATGGTAAGGGCTGAAGCAAGAGAACGTTTCACCTAGCTTGTGACCAAAGAGCCTATTTAAGCTTTTAGTATGTGTATGTGCTTCCAAACTTGGTACATTCTGATTCCCAGGCCTACTATGCAGCAATTCTGATTCGGTGATTTAGGGATAGACATAGAAATCTACATTTTTAAATAATACCTCAAGCAATTTGGATTCAGTCTCAGAATCACATTTTGAAAAGCAATGAAATGGATTCTCAACGTATGTTGAATGAATGAATGAAACTTGATGAATACCAGCCCTGGTTAGACTCCACTGCTTTGGCTTTATTGGGTAGGCCAGTGCTTTCAACTGGAAGATAAAATAACAACTTATTAAGTGCTTCCTAGCATCATCCTCAATTGTTTGCCCTGGAAAATAATTCATGCAAATCTCTAATGACCACCAGTTTTATAATCATCTCCCCTCAATACTAAAAGTAGCTTTGACCTCCACGGCTCCTGCTAAATACCTGCCTAGGAGAAAGAACTAAAAAGTAATGTGAGGACATCACAACAGGCCCCAGTGAGATGCTGAGCCGTGTCTCCACCTCATCTCCCCATTTAATAAAAAACAAACATGAAAAAAAACATAAAACAAAATGAAAAACATCACTTATTTTCCCTGAAATACAGCAAAATTTACCATAGATGAAATTTAGTATATCTAATAATCTTACTAATATTTTAACTGGTCTGAGCACCTAAATACTGGCGGCTACTATTGGTGCTAACAGTCGTCTTTCCCCACTAATGAAGGCCCATCATCTTTATCTTTAGCAATAATTTTCAGGTGGAAATTATTGATAGGAAAGTTTTGTTCACATCAGTTGCATTCTAAAAAGAAACAGAAACTGGATTCTCATCATACTGTTTTAAACCAGCCAATTTATATTAGAGTCCTCCAGGTATGTATTACATGGATATTTCCAAGGGTAAAGAAGACATGTGTCACCTCTCTATGTGCAGGCAATTGCACATAAAATACATCTGTGGCTTGTTGCTGAAAAGTCACACCTCTGATCCACAAATCGGCTTAATTTAACCATTTTTCAACATGTTAATACATTTTCCTGTTTTAAATTCCTGCTTAGTGGAAAGTTTCCCCATTGAGCATCTGATTTAATTTTGTCTGCTTGGATGCCCTTTAGGTAAAGGACACCATTCAATATCAGAATTAGAAGCATTCTATTCATTTCCCCCCCTGCAGCCAGGGAAAGAGAAAGGAGAGCACAAAGAGGCAGAGACTCAAACAACTCTAGATGCAGCAATTCTCCAGCCGCTGAGCAATGAGGTTTCACATGCTGCTGGAGGACCCATTCATCTTAATCCATCTGGAAAGAGGGCTATGCGCAATATTTCACAATCTAAGTACTTTCTGACAAATCTATTAATTATGCACTCAAACAAATTATTTGCTGCCTGTGGAGAATTGCTGCTGGATTTTCTCTTATGCTAGAATCCATGTTCTTTTTTCTGCTTTTAACTCATTGCCGTCATTGGCACAGTCATATTAGTCCCTATTCTCAATCGTCATCATTTTAAATTTAGATGTGGTCACTTCTACAGAGAAATAAATAAGATAACATGACACCTAAGAGCCAAAACTAAGGTAACTTTCCAACTACTTTCTTACAGCTTTTGACTTCTGTCTTTCTTTACCAAAGTGTATGGAAGTCATCTTTTCTTCATGGTAAACCAAGAGATGGTTCAATGGCTTACTGACGCTTCCCTCAAACCCATGACTGCTTTCTCTCAGTTCTAAAAGACAAGTCCTCCTCCAAATTCATGAATAGTAGCTTTATGAAACATACCTTATATTTGGGAGAAAAAAATAAGAGTTGTAGTTTATTCTCACTTATTTAATTATTGTTGTCAAGTTCTAGAATAAAATTGAAAGAGATCAAATTATTTTCTTTCTAAATAATTTATTTTCTAGCTTCAGAGGTACTACATAAAATTATAGAAAAATATTTAAAACAATTAAAAGGAATACAAATTAAAATCACCCATAATAGTACCAACTGTTTTGCATGAATGTCTTTCTACTCTTTATTTATATGTTAAAAATGTCTGCGCTATATATATATTTTTTTAAAGTGGACATAATTTTGCATGATTTTTTACGTGTTATTTCATGCATATTTTTCACGTTACCAGGATTTTTACATTGTTGGGGAAGCACAATTAAAAACAAAATATTCTTCTAACCTAGGAAATCTCTTCACAAAGACAGAAGAGAAAGAAAACAATTTTGTTTTTAAATAAGGGTTAAACCAAAATCTGATGTATATCATAGGCAATCTGCTAAGAGATTGAAAAACAGAAAAAAAAAAAATCTCACCTTTTTAAGTAGCCCAGATACAATTCATTACATGCATGTTTGCAAGATAAACAATAACTAGTCTTCAAGTAAGAGAACCTGACATCACCATTTGTCACACACAGTTCATCTTAAACTCACCTGCAACTTGCAGCAGGGTGCCCACCAAAATCAGACTTCCACTCTTCCCCAGAAACCAGCAGGTAGGGTCCTATCTCCCTTAATGTTTATATTCTCAAAAGATGGCCTCGAGATCCCCAAGAAAGACATTCCTGGGTCATAAAGCTACCAAAAGTCCATCTGGTTTTCAAAAGGATTTATACATATTTCAAAGACAGAAGAAAGTATTTGCAATTTCTTCTTACAACTATACACAATTTAAAAAATCTTGTAAGATTCTGTCATTAAACTGTAAAATGATTGCCCTATCTCCCATCACTGGGCATTTTAAAAAACTAATTCTAAATAATTTTACAATACACATTCTTATAAGACTTCCAAGCACTTTTATTTTTGCCACATAAAATGTAACAGTGTTCTCTTTGCAACGAAGAGAAAAATACCAAATATTGCCTGCAAATACATATACACGCATACATTGGAAACAATCACAAACACATAGTGCACCTTTGTTCATTTAAAATGTGTGTAACAAATATATTTAGTAACCACCTGTATGCATTCAACAACATATTAAATGCTTAGAAAACAATGTTCAGATCTCCAT